TAGGGGTTCGGGGTTTAGGGCTTAGGGTTTACGGGTTTAGAGGTTCAGGGGTTAGGGGGTTTAGGGCTTAGGGTTTAGGAGTTTATGGTTGAGGGGTTTCGGGTTTAAGGGTTTAGGGCTTAGGTAAGGGGTTGTGAAGGGAAGGGTTTCGTAGGGTCTGCTCATGGGTTTATTGTGGCTTACTTCTGCAACTTTCAATCCTTCGAGGCTTGTGTCGAAGACAGCTAGCATCGAGGAGGAGAAGCTCACCCAGGTACGGTTTAGGGTTTAGGGTTTAGGGGACCAAGGATGAGGCCAAGGCTTTGTTCGAGTGCTTCGCTCGCAGGGGCTGGAAGCTGAAGCATACCACGGATGAAGCCAAGAAGCGGCCCAGCAACATCGAGACGGTGCTTGGCCACGCCATGGAAGCCCAGCAGAAGCTCTCCAGGGATGCCATGGGCTCCTCAAGAAGTGGGGGAAGGAAGATGAGACAACACAGACTTTGGGGAAGTTTCACAAGGGCAGCCAGAGCAAATCTGGATTCCGGTCCCATACTTTAGGGTTTAGGGTTTAGGTCTGTGAGAGCATTAAGTGGCTTGTCGGAGTTACTAGCACGCTGAATACCCGACTTTTGATCCTGGAATCTGAAGTCGGCGTGCCAAGTCTAGAACCGAAGCATCAAAGTTAGCCACCATCGGCCCAGTTCTAGAATGCCCGACAACTGATTTAACGGTACAGTTTAAGAACGTTGCTTCAACTGACTTGGGCTTGTACCGTGTAGGTTTGGGCACAAAGTATCGACCAAACGCATAGCCAATTCTTAAGGCTTTTTGATTCAGTTCGCATGTTACAATCTATCCCGACACCCAGCCCTAAACTCAATCCCAGACCCTCAACCCTAGTTTAGGGTTTAGGGTTTAGGGTTTAGGGTTTAGGGCCCTAAATTCCGAGTTCCACAGGCGCTGCACAGCGCGAAGCCCAAGCAAGCGCTGCTGTACCTGTAGCTCTTGCCGATGATAGAAACAGCACAGCGCGAAGAGCAGACAGTTTAACAGTAGCACCGTTGAGGATATAAATCCTGCAGTGCCTTAAGGACCCTAAACTATGGGTAGGGTTTATGGGGGGTAGGGGCGACCAACCCACACTTTGCAGCCCCCCAGCCTAGGAGCCTTCCACTTTGGTGTTTAGGGGCTTAGTGGTTAAGGGGTTTAGGGTTTAGTGGCTTAGGGGTGTAGGGCTTTGGGGTTTAGGGTTTTGGGGTTTGGCTTAGGGGTTTAGGGTTTAGTGGTTTAGGGGTGCGGGGTTGAGTGTTTTAGGGGTGTAGGGCTTTGGGGTTTAGAGATTAGGGGTTTAGGGTTTAGGGGTTTAGTGGTTTGGGGTTGAGTTGTTTAGGGGTGTAGGGCTTTGGGGTTTAGGGTTTAGGGTTTAGGGTTTAGGGGTTTAGGGTTTAGGTTTAGGGCTTATAGGGTTTAAGTTAGTCTTGTTCGACAAGGCGCGCATCGCCGTTGTCAAAGCGAGCACATCTGGCTACGCAGCGTCCCCAGAGACTTTCGTAACCCTACACCCTAAACCCTAATCCCAAAGCCAAACCCTAATCCGTAAACCCTAAACCCTAAACCCTAAACCCTAAACCCTAAACCCTAAACCCTAAACCCTAATCCGTAAACCCTATAAATCCTTATCCCTAGCCCTTAAACCCGACACCGTAACTCATCCCTAGAGCCTAAACCCCAATCTCTTAACCTAAACCGTAATTCATCCCTAGACCCTAAACCCTAATCCCTAAACCCTAAGCCATAATTCATCCTTAGACCCTAAACCCTAAACCTAGAGTCGGTTCAGAGACTTTGGGCGTCGGGCCTGCGGCTTCTCGAGGGCTTACGGCATTTTGTGGATTCGACGGGAGCAGAAGTTTACAACTGGATTTCGGGTTTAGGGTGTAGGGTTCAGGGTTTACGGTTTAGGGCAGATTTGTGGATTCGACTGAAGCCTTGCTGACACCTCTCTGCGACGCCACTGCCGGCAAAGCTCAGACTCCAGCTTCAGATCTGCTGCCGCGCCATGGCAGACACTGTAGATAGCAGTCTTCCGGCATCCATTCTACATGGCTGCTGCTTCGAAACAGATCGGCTCCTTGTCCAGGAGCTCAAGCCAACATTCGCGCGATGGCATTCCGCAGCTGAATCAACGGAAAATGAGTTTGACGTTGCCTCTGTTGTTGTCGCGTCAGTGCTCACCGAAGAGGCTGATTCACCAGCGGACAAACAATCAAGTAGAACTAAAGCCAGATATAAGCCGAAATTTAAAAGCCTGCTAACCCCCCCCCCCCCCCCCAAGAGTCTGCGCGACTGAGTTTTGACAACTTCAGGTGACCAAGCCACTCCCACCTCATTGGCAAGGCCCCTATTCACCAGACAGGGCCAAGCAGTGGATGTGCGACTTGATCGATGAACCCATGACTACACTGCTCTTTGCGGTGTCCAAAGCGTGTGGCACAGAAGATACTGAAAGACCCTGCGTTCTTGTTAAGGAAGTTATTTCGTTTACATTAATAGAAGGAGGATGTTTTGTAGCAAGCATGCTTGCTTATTGCAGACACCGGATATCTAAGTTCCTCAACTTTAACCAGGACGCGGAGACCACGAGGATGCTTTGAAGATGGCTTCTGACTCAATTGTGGGACTAGTGATTGCTTTCGAACTGGCCGTGGATGGATCTGACCTTCAGAAGGACATTCGCTTGGGCTACCTGCTGTCTGAGAGGTTCTGGGGCCAAGGCTTTGCATCAGAGCTTGTGTGGCTTGGTAGCCAGCTGTTCTGTCTGGTAGAAGCTCGATACTACATACTAATGATGGCTGGTGCTGGGGCATGTTCCGTCATACATGAAGAATATAGAAGCCTAAATAANNGGTTCCTGATTATAACTATACTATAAAGGAGCCCAAAACCCTACTCTGATTATCAAGCTCTCCACATTAAGCACACATTGGGGCGGAAACATGCTGAGGAAGGGGTTTGTCAGCTGGTGCCGGCAGTTCAATGTAACCGACACACGACAGCTTGCCTCCATTGTTGGTGGAGTGGCTCGGACGAATGTGGCATCCAAACGCGTCCTCGTGAAGAATGGCTTCCAAAGCGTCAGCAGCGGAAGTCCCCCTGCCGACGGCGAAGAGGAGCCGGAGGAAGAGGAGTTCCTCTTGCAGCTCATCTGCTGATCGTACTACTGCACTGCATTGCTGGGATAACGATGATGGCATTGGTTCGTAATCTGGGTGTTGTCAGCCACTCCCAATATTCTTCACACTGTTGACATAAGACCAGGGGTCAGAAGCCTGCCAAGGCAGTAGGCAAACACCACCACAGTGGACTCCGACGAGTTTCACAGGGAGTATTAGCAGTAGTGGCTGCCAGACAGGAGGAGGAGCCGGAGGAGGTTCGCCACGACAACAGCTACGGCAGCGCCAGTGGCAAGATGATCGGCAACGAAAAGAAGGGAAGAGACCTCAACACCAAAATTTCTTCCGGGACTCAATTCCTCATCTCGGAATGTCGAGTCACAGCGCCATCCCTCAATCTCTATCCATCCCACTCTGGGCACCCTACGGCCATGCACCCCAAAACTCGCGAGTCCAGGATTACGAAGTTACGACTTCACAGTCGAAGTCCTTGGTTTTTTGTTGGGGCTCTTGCAGCGGTGCCGGGATTCGGATTTAGGGGCCAAAACCTCGGATGCAGGCTTCTGAGAGCATGGCCTGAGCGCCTGCTCCTAGCAACTGGGCTGTTGCTCCTACCGTCTGTGCTGCTGCTAGTTCACTAAGTTCTACGATTATTTTTTACTCTTTATTATTATCCTTATCATTATTACTATTATTCTTGTTATTGTTACTATTATTATGAGGGTGACCCATCCTAACAACTGGTTAAAGTTTTCAAGGGCATGGCTACTGTTCGTATTGCAGTTCCAGTATGGTCATGCTCGGATTCGCACCGCCACTGCTTACATGAATGACCACATCAACTGTGAGTATCTTGTCATGTCCTTTCCGGCAGACCCGAACCCACAGACCGGAAGCCTTCAACGAGTTAACGTCCAGGGTTTGGGAATGTAGCATAAGGGCCCCGATGATTTGAATAGGTGTTGGGGGCATGCTATAGTCGCACGGTTATGTTCGGGAAGGAACCCCATGACTAGTTATTGGCCCGTAGATAAGGGTGCGGGAAGGTGCACCGACTGCTGACGGCGCTGCTGCCCGAAACCACAGGCAGGTTAAGCAGAGATGTGGGGATGGGCGGGCTTTTCTGGTGCCAGGTTATACGGCTTCAGGATGTTTATGGCTTTAGCGTTTCAGGGTCTTAGGGTGTTTTGGGAATCGTTGGGATTACACGCGTAGGTTCGAAGGGTTTCAGGTGCTTTGATACTGTGACTGCACAGGTTCGGTAGTCAGGCGTTGCTATTTTCTGCTTAGTCGAAACCTATAGCCCTAAAGCCCTGAGCCAAGTGGCTCAGCTTCCTGGTCAGTTTGTCTGAAGCGTCAGGGCTCTACAGACAAGGCCCGACACAGCCCAATTTCGTGACAGCTTCCTTCCGGGTGCCGACTCTAGAAGGGTGTTGAGTGCTCCGTCCCTGCCTCTCCCTCCCTCTTCCTTCCTCTCAACTCTCGCTCCCTCTCCCTCTCCCCCTCCCTCTCGCCCTCCCTCCCTCCCTCCCTCCTCCCTCGCTCCGTCCCGCACTCCCCATTCCTGCTCGTCCCTCTCGTCCCCAGAGTATGGTCGCTACTACTGCTCTTGTTGCATCTGCTACACTTCGTGTGTTTTTGCCCGCACTCCAAGATCTGCGATGAAGCCATCAAAGCCTGAAATCGAATCCCTACAGTGTTCCGCAGCCCCAGATCTTGAGAGCTTGCACCATTTGCCCCTGCAATCAGAAAACTACAAGCCAACAATCTGGCCCCCTGCGAAATCCAATCGAAACCCCAAGCTTAAGACACGAACCTGAGCTCAGGAACGGATGCCGCTTCCACTGTGCTTTCTGCAGTTCTTCGGAATGCAGCTCCTGAGCCAGGAAAGCTTGCGTGCATATGGGTAGTTTTCTAAAATAGGGTCCCTTTTGGGGTCCTTTTATAAGGGTTTAGGGAATTTTATACTAAGGATCCTACAAGGGTAACCCCCAAAAGGAACTACAATGGAGACTATATATAGGTGGTTGTCAAAATGATGGACCCTTTTTGGGTCCTTATTATAATACGGCACCTATTATTTAGGGTACCCCAAAAGGGATCATAATTTTTACAACTACCCATATGTTTACGACCTGCATACATGGCTTCGGTATAGAACTGCTTCACAAGAACCCAGCTACCAGCCGGTCCTTTTGCAGCGCACGCAGTGTTCAGGCTCGACCTCTGAACCGCAGAAGCCAGGCCTTCAGGAAGCTCCTACGTCACTCATGACATCCAAAATAGCCCCGACAAAGTAAAGAGCAGCACGCACGGACTGTGTCATGCGGCCCCCCCTTTTTACCAAGGCTCAAGTTACTCAGCTTCGCATCGGTTGCTAGCTGTGCGTGTTTCATGCCTTGTCAGCACAAATTCCGCTGATGTCGATGTTGCAAACATCTAGGGCATGCTAGTCCGACAGCGAAAAGCTGAAGCTCTACACTAAGCCTTAAAGGCTAAACCCTAAGCCACAATGAACCCTAAAGCCTCAGACCTCACGGTGTAAAGAGCGTAATATAGAAGCCTAAAAAGTTACCAATACTATTCCTTAGGGTTCCTTAACATAACTACACTATAAAGGAGCCCCAAACCCTACTCTAACTGTTATAAGGCCCCTATATGATCTGCCCCCATAGTCGTGATCTGTTTTCCCGGCCAAAAGGCCATGAAATCCTCAAGACCTGTACACCATTCCCCTAAGGGTCCAAGTAGTCCTTATTTATGGTTTTAGCTACCCAAACAGGCTCCAAAGTCCTTAAATAATGGGCACTTGGACCCTTAGGGTTCATAATTACGAACGCAGGAGTTCGGGCCTTAAGCCCCAAGCCTCCCAAAAAGCTTAAAATTCCTCACCCTCTCTCCTTAACCCCAAGATGCTTTAAACCCTGACAAACCCATAAAACCCTCAACCCTATTTGGGTAGTTTTCCACATTAGGGTACCTTTTAGGTCCCCAATATAGTACGGCACCCTTATAAAAAAGGACCCTAAAAAACCCTAATTTAGAGAACTACCCATTTCCTTAACCTCAAAAGCCCCAAGCCCTTGCATGCAGGCACCCAGATTGAGCTGTGGCCGCTTCTCTCGGAAGCTCTCTGTTTGTGGCCTACACCCAGGCCGGCAAATTTTGCAGGGGTGGAGGCTGAGGGGCTGGGCTATAATATAGGGGCCTGAATTGGAATAGGGTTTTGGGTCCTTTATAGCATAGCTATGAAAAGGAACCCCCAACATAATACTTAGGCCTCTACAGTAGGGTTCGGGGTTGGAATTTGCGGAGAGCTTGCCTCCTACAGTCGGAGTCCTTGGGCTTAGGGTTTGAGGCTCCTTGGGTTTGGGGTTTTGGGACTCCTGGGTTTAGGGTTTAGAGTTTAGGGTTTAGGGTTTAGGGTTTTGGGGCTCCTTGGGTTTAGGGTTTAGGGCTCTGAAGAAGAGTTCAGGGGGGGTGGTCTAAATTTCACAAAGAAGACAGGGACCATTGAAAAGGGCCAAAAAGACTACAGCAAACCAAGACTAAATCCCAAGAAGCCTTGCGTAGATCGACAGCCTCTGAGTTGCTCCAATGCCAAGTGATGTTTAGGGTATTTCGGGTTTGGGGTTTAGGGCGTCAGCAGGGTTGAGGTCAAGCAGCAGACGCACTGGTGATGCCGAAATCCTAGGTAAAACTCAAAAATCCTACATCCCAAGCCAAATTCAGAAACCTTCCTCCCCAATCGTAAACCCTATAGAGCCCTCAAAATCGATTCCTACACCCTGATTTTTGAATTAAGATCTCTGGAACTGGCTTCCCACCCCTAGCCAAAGCCCCACCTGCAACGCTAAACCCCTTAACCCCTAAACCCTAAACCCCTAAAACCTAAACCCCTAAACAGCCCCTGTATTCGCCATCAGGCTCACTGCCCTGGTTCTCGCCGTGCTTCCTCGAGTCTTCGACAACCTCTCCGCAAAAGCCTTGGGAGCGCATGCACTATGTATGTTTTCTATAATATATAAATATATATATATATATATGTACACAATGTAATAATGTGTGTATATATATATATATATGTAGGTGTGTATATATATATATATATATATTATAATATCATATATATATATAGACTGATTGGTTGTGTATCTCTTGTTTGTACACATAGATATACATGTATAATACATATATATATATATATATATAGTCCCTAGAAATCGAAACCCCTGCAGGTTTTGGATGTAGTTTTACGGCTTGAGCTCCAAGCCCAAGCTACAGCCGAGGTCGGAACCTTTGAAACTCATCGTTCCAACACTGATCCTCTTCATTCAGTCCATGTGCCTAGTTTCTGGAAACCCTAAACCCTACCTATAGTCTCCATTGTAGTTTCTTTTTTTGGTTTTAACCAAATATATATTAAGGATTTTATAAGGTATCCCCAAAAAGGGACTACAATGGAGACAGTAGGTAAACCCTAAAGCTCTGTGTAAAACCCTCAGTGAGTAAATTCGACGTCCTTGTTGCTCTGTAAGCCCTTAACCTGAAGCCTGAAAAGTTGAAGATGTTCGGGGTCTGAACACTCAGATAAATAGAAAGAGAGAGAGAGAGAGAGAGAGAGAGAGAGAGACAGAGAGAGCGATATATATATATATATATATGAGAGAGAGAGAGATATACCTCTGGGGTCTTTTTGCCGAGTCGCTTCTCTTACTTCAACTATTGACATATAGGTGGTTCTCTAAACTAGGGTCCGTTTTTAGGTTCCCAAACTAGTACGGCATGCGGCACACTTGTACAAGGGAGCCTAAACGGGACCCAAACTTACAGAACCTGGTACAGTACAAGTTTAGTAGAGTGACGAAGAGCATGAAGAACATGAAAAATCCCCGAAACCCTAAACAACAAGAAGAGCACGAGTGCCGCAGGTACAGACTCCCGATGGCTGTGTGAAAGGCAGCCGTGAGCTCCCCGAGATAGGGCTGAATGATTGGATTCTACGGTGTGAGTTGGACCCGGCTTAGGGTTTAGGGTTTAGGGTTTAGGGAAGCCCTAAACAACTGAGGGTTTAGGCTTTAGGGAAGCCCTAAACAACTTGGGGTTTAGGCTTTAGGGAAGCCCCTAAACCACTGACCCCCCAAACTGCAGAGGTTAACTGGGGCATAGGGCTTGGGACTTGGGGTTCATGGCCTGAGATAATGTAGGGCCCTAAATAACTACCTAAATATAAACAGATAAATATATATCTATGCATGTATATTTTATTTGATTTTTTGGGGGGGAGGGGGGGCCTTATTGTAATTATAGTATACTGGGCCTCAAAGCCCTATTCTAACTATTAAGGCCTCTATATTACACGGTCGAACCCCAACTGGGTTTAGGGTTTCGAGCTTCTGTAAAGCCTGGTCTTTCACACCCTTTGTGCTTTGATACCTGCTCCAGCAAGAAGTCAGCCTCCTTCTAAACTCTTGGCGCATGAACAAAGTAGCAATGCCGCAGGTCATGGTGTCCGTATATTTCGTCGTGTATTTATATATATATATATATGTGTGTATATATATATATATATATTCACATATATATTTATACACACCAGTACAGGCCATAGTATATATATATATATATATATTTACTATGCTATGTCATAGTGTGCTATGGCGTGTTTTATCCTTTCCCAGGTTCAGAAGTATAGAAATCAGGCCTGCTCACGTAAGCAACGTGGTTAACCAACAACGAAGTCTGTAATTGCAGCTAGCCAGACGGGCGTGGATTTTCGGAATAGAAGCGATGATGCTGTGGTCTAGCTCCTGACCTTCTCTGAAAGGTTCTAGCTCTTGAACCCCAAGGCCTTTGAGGTCTCTTAGTGGACCGGCCCACGATGACATTGGTGATTTTTTGTTTGTTGAGTCTCGCGAAAGTGAAGCATATTCTAAGACCCTACAACCCGATGTTATGCCTATGTCCTAAACTTAACCACCTCACTCCCTAAACCCTAAGCCCTAAACCCTCCTCTCTGTCCTCTCCCCAGAATCTGGATCTCCTCACCCTGAGGCCTCGATTGCAGCTCGCCAGCCGGACCAGTGAACTTTAGCGTTCGAAGTCCGGTGCGGTGCTAAGTGAGGGCGATGGGCAGGCGATAGAGGTTTGGGGTTTCGAGTTTCAGGTTTTGGGTTTAGGATCCAGGGTTGCGGATTTTTGGCTTAGGGGTTGCTACATTTAAAGTTGAAAGTTCTGCGCTGTATAGATGGGCACGAAAGTCCTGACCGCCATACTGCTTGCACCGGTTCGGCTTGCAACATGTTTCCAGTATTGGCAGATTGCTGCAGTTGCTTCCATGCTTGTACTACGGTGGTGAAACTTCTCTGGGGTTCGTTCCTGCTTGTGCTTATACATCAGTCCATGCACTCCAAACCCCGGTCATCATTATCATGATCATGATTATCATTGTTGTTATCATTGTGATCATGGTTGTCGTTGTTAGTAGTAGAAGTAGAAAGAGTAGCAGCAGTAGTAGTAGTAGTAGTCGTCGTCGTCGTAGTAGTAGTAGTAGTAGTAGTCGTAGTCGTAGCCGTAGTAGCCGTAGTAGTCGTAGTAGTCGTAGTAGTTGAAGTAGTCGTAGTAGTCGTAGTAGTAGCAGTAGCAGTAGCAGTAGCAATAGCAATAGCAGTAGTAGTAGCAGTAGCAGTAGCAGTAGCTGTAGCAGGAGCAGCAGTAGCAGTAGCAGTAGCAGTAGCAGTAGCAGTAGCAGTAGCAGTAGCAGTAGCAGTAGGAGTAGCAGTAGGAGTAGGAGTAGCAGTAGCAGTAG